AATCACCTCTGGGATTTTTATTTTTTCTTAAACCAAAAACCACTGAAAATTTTGTAAAAAAAAGTTTCTTCGTTTTTGTTATACAATTTTGTAAATAAGTGATTTTTCTCCTTCACTGATGTGCGCTAATGAGGCTGCAGTGATGGGCACTGATAGGCTGCACTGTTGGACACTGATAGGTGGCACTGGTAGGTTGCACTGATGGGCATTGACAGGCATCACTGATGGGCACTGAAAGGCAGCACTGATACATCACACTGATATATGGCACTGATAGGCAGCACTGATAGGCGACACTGACTGGCACTTATAGGTGGCACTAATTGGCAGCACTGATTGGCATTGATAGGCAGCACTGACTGGCACTGATGGGTGACATTGAAAGGCAGCTCAGATGGGCACTGATATGTGGCATTGATGTGCACTGGTATGCACTGATATGTGGCACTGATGGGTACTGGCACGTGGCACTGATGAGCACTGACTGCTGGCACTGATGGACATTGACAGGTGGCACTTCTGGGGCCACACTGATCATCAGGGCACACTGATCATCAGTGCCCTGATGATCAGTGTAGATGTCCGCTCCGCGGAAAGCCGATTACCGGCTCTCCTCTCGAGCTGTCAGCGTGACAGCTCGAGAGGAGAGAAATGCCGATAACTGGCATTTCCGTGTTTACATGTGATCAGCTGTGATTGGACACAGCTGATCACATGACCGAGCCGACATCTTCGGCTCTTTCCGTGATCCGCTGTGTCCGAGGGACACAGCGCACTGGCGATCGCCGCGCTGCGTGCTTCCTGAGCTGCGCATGCGCGGTGAGAATGGAAGGACGTCATATGACGTCCTATCAGGACTAGAGAACCACCTTGCGCCCGTCATTGTACTATACGGCGGGCGGAAGGTGGTTAAAGTGGACATTGCAGTAAAATGGAAGGACCATTTATTATACAAGCACCCCTCTTTATTCATGAATAGCTGCTGTTGAAAAAAAAAAATTACATAGATCAGGAGGTGATGTCACTATTCTCTTGGTGAAATCCAAGGGAATGCAGAGCATATCAATCTCAGAAAAAGACACCCTACTAAAATGCAGGAATATCTTCTTGTGAGATATGGGGTACATGGAATTACTGCAAGGAAGATGGTTTCAGGGACCTGCAGTCAGTGACAGATGCACTGCGTATAGGGCCTATCCATCCGTTACTGTACAGATGAAAATGTTCAAATATGCATGAAAATCCAGCTGTTCCAGTCATTGATTAAAACAGGAGGATGACAGCAGCTGCACAGAGCATGTCATTGCTGGGGGCATGAACACATGCTGTATGGGCCTTCGCATTCACATGAATGAGCCATTACATTGCATCTACTGCTTGTTCAAAATATGTAAATACTTTAGTGTGTATGATCTGGACAAAGATTCACTTTAAAAGGATAAGGTCACCTTTGGAACAGGTTACATTTTCCACCCGGTTTTTAGGGTGGAACATGTAACATGTTCCCATAGCTGCAGCCGCATCCACCTTCCTGATCCCCCAAGAGGCAATTGGATATTCCCTGGATCAACTTTAGCTATACCTAAATGTATATAACTACCTTGTAGTTTTCAATGAACTACCTCGGTGCCGTGGAGCACCGTGGTAGTTAATTGAAGCTTCCTGTCAGAATATCTGCTTGACCGTACGGCAAGCAGATATTCTAACAGGTCTGCAGGAGACCTGCATGGCATCAGTGATCTACTGATCGCTGGTGCAATGCTTTCCTGGCTCCTTTGGACAAAAATAATAAATGCACATTTTTTTACCTGCAAAAAATGTGCATTTATTATTTTTTGTTCAAAAGGTAAACTTATCTTTTAAGAGCTAAGTGCCAGTAGATCAACAGGTAATTTTTCCACACTTGCAGGATCTTTAACCAATTGAGAGCTAGTCCAATGCCCTTTCATTACCCAGTCATTTTTCAGTACTGTGATAATTTGACTGACAATTACTGACAGACAAAAGTTTCTTTTGGTGGTATTTAACCACTTCAGTACTAGGCACGTTCACCCCCTTCCTGCCCAGGCCAATTTTCAGCTTTCAATTGCGCAGTCTTGCAACATTGTACCCATATGAAATTTGTACCTTATTTTTTTTTTTTAGACAGATAGAGCTTTCTTTTGGTGCTTTTTAATCACCACTGGGTTATTTTTGCTTAAATTTAAAAAGACTGAAAATCAAAAAAGGACACAAACAAAAAAAAACCCACCTTTTTCTTCATTTGTTATAAAATTTTGTAAATAAGTAATTTTTCTTTTTCACTGATGTGCGCTGTTGAGGCTGCAATGATGGTCACTAATAGGCTGCATTGATGAAACTGCACTGATAAGCTGCAATGATGGGCACTAATGAGAAGGCACTGATGGGGCTGCACTGACAAGTGTAAACAAAGTGCTGGACAGTCTTGCCGGTTATCGGATGTCTCTTCCTGACACCGACACAGCATGTGAGGAAAGGACTGTCGATAACCGGTAAATCTGTTTACATACGATTAGCTGTGATTGGACACAGCTGATTACATGGTAAAGGGCCGATGTGATTGGCCCTTTACCGCGATCAGCTGTGTCCAAAGGACACAGTGGTCACAGAGCATGCCCGAAGCACACCCCAGGAGGCACGTCCTGGGAGGACATCTATAGACACCCTCACAGAACAAGACAACAGGGCTGTAGCCGTCTTTTGGTTATAGCACGGTATTAAAGTGGTTAACCAATTCAATACGTGCAATTTTACACCTTCCTGCCCAGGCCATTTTTCAGGTTTCAGCGCTCTCACACTTTGAATGACAATTGCGCGGTCATACAACATTGTACCCAAACTAAAATTGTATCATTTTCTTCACACAACTAGAGCTTTCTTTTGGTGGTATTTAATCACCACTGGGGTTTTTATTTTTTGCTAAATTAACAAAAAAAAGACCAAAAATTTTGAAAAAAAAAAAAACACGTTTTTCTTTGTTTCTGTTATAAAAGTTTACAAATAAATAATTGTTCTTCATAAATTTAGGCCAAGATGTATTCTGCTACATGTCTTTGGTGAAAATAACCCAAATTAGGATGTATTATTTAGTTTGTAGGAAAGTTATAGAGTTCACAAACTATGGTATAGATCTGAATATTGATCAATCCTGATATACTGACAGCCAATCTAATTTCTTGAGGTACAAGAATGTCAGAACAGTACAGATATCCCCCAAATGACCCCTTTTTGTAAAGTAGACAGTCCGACGTACTTCATAAGAGGAATCGCGAGTTTTTTGAAGTTGTATTTTTTTTTCATAATTTTTCGGAAAATGAAAAAATTAAAATTATTTTTACTATTTTTTTAATTTTTTTTTTTACATACTGTCACCAGTGCAGTACAGCATCATCATATAACTGGCATGGCGGTGAACAGGGACACTAACTGGTGACAGTATGAAAAAAAAAAATATATATATATTTTTTTTTTAATTATTTTTTATTACATTTTTTTTATTTTTTTTTTTCATATTTTACTATGACCAAAGTAGTACAATTTTACCATAGTAACATTGTACTACTTTGGGGAAGTGATCAGCATTTTTTTTTTTTTTTTTTTTTACACAAAATTTGCTTATAGCAAAGAATTACTTTGCTATAAGCAAGCATTTACCTGAATGACATCGATTCATTCAGGTTTTTTTTTTTTTTTTTTTTTGTGCTTAGCTGTGATTTGGCCACAGCTAATCACATGACATGTGCATGTGACCTGCTGTGACCATTCACAGCTAGACACTAGTATACAATGGATGGCATGAATGAAGCCATCCATTGTATACAACTGTCATGTGACCTGCTGTGATTGGTCACAGCAGGTCACATGGTACGGGCAACAGGGGCTGGTACTCAGATCTGTCATCGGCCGTGTCCGAGGTACACGGCCGGTGACAGATCGCGCCGCTGCGCGGCTCTGCAACCGCGTGAACTGTGCATGTGCAGGAGGACGCCAAATGGCGTACACCCCGGAAAGCTAATGCATTTTTGCGGCCGCCAAACGGCTATAGGCCGGGCGGCAAATGGTTAAGAACCACTGGGATTTTAGTTTTTTTTTTTTTTTAAATTGTAAAAACGTTTTCCTTACTTCTAGTAATATATCAAAGAAAAATGTCAGAGCAGTATCAAAACCTCCAATATGAACCCTTTTTGCAAAGTAGACACCCCAAGGTAGAAAAAATAAATAAATAAATAAAAAAGTAGCAAAAAATTAGATTAAGTATTGAGGACTAGTTTACACTAGCGTAGCTCTCTGAAGAGTGAACTGCATTTGTTCATTCTTCAGAGAACATTCAACAAGCAGTGAGAGCATTCAATAGGCCTCCACTGCCTGTCAGTGCCTCTGCAGCATAAAGGGGGGGGGGGGGGGGGGGGGGGTGTTGGGAGAGATAAAAAAGTGCATGTAATCCGAGTGTTTTACTGCCCCTAGACACAAGTGTAATCTGGGATGTTGAATTCCCATCGCCCAACGCCCGGGACATATAGTTTCGGGCGCCAAGCAGGTAGTTTTTCTTCACCTTCAGCCCTGCTGGGACCAAGCAGCAGGGCTCGCGTGTCAGTTGGAAGCATTCAGGCGGCAGCACTGCCGCCCAAATGTTTCCACACAGTGCTGCCCCCCCCACCCCGTGTGAAGCCCCTCCACTTCTTGTCCTGACTCGGAAGTGACGTTATGATGTCACATCTGGGTCCCCATTGAGAGACCTTGGATGTCTCAATAAAGAGAACCTGTAACCAAAAAATCATCACATAGGGGACATGGTCTCCTATGTGGTGAAAAAAAAAAAACCTTTTTTTTTTAAATTGTAAAAAATTTAAGTTACACCCAAGTACACAACATCTCCCCCACCCCCCCAAAAAAATTGAGCCCCCCCACATATACGCACATACAAATGTAAAAGCACACACTGGGGCACCTACGCATGAAAAAGTTGATTGCGATGCACACGTTACATATCGCCGCGCAAGCCAGAATGAGAGAAATAATTCTAGCACCAGACCTCCTCCGTAACACTAAATTGATGAACTAGAAAGGGCTTTAAAAGGGTCACCTATAAAAAAAAATATAGGGTACTGATATTCATCGCCATTTTACAAGTGCATGCAAATTTAAGGTTTGACAAGTTGGATATCTATTTATTCGCTGCAACCTCATCTTTTATATTTTACAAAAAAAAAATAAGGTAGTTTATTGCTTTTTTTCTGCCCTAAAATTAACGAACTTGTATTTTTTACTTACATTTTGCAGTAATATAATGCAACATAAGAAACTGGAACTATTTTATTCTCTAGGGTCTCTCATTTCACAAAATATATTATGTTTGAGGGTTTTGTGTAATCTTCAGGCCTAAAATGATTTTTTTAGATCTTGTGCAAAAAACGCAAAAACAGCGCTGGCAGCGAAAGGTATAAAGGATAAGCCAAACACTCCCCTTTCCTGACAAACACCCAATCAGTACTCATTGCACTGCAAGGTGTCTCTCTG